TAAATAAATAAATAAATAAAATATGTTATTGAATCATACTGTGAAACATTTAAATAAATGTTTCTCTTTTGCATTTTTGTAATTTCTTCTGTTTACAAGACAGTTTCATGGAACTTGTTCTCAGTAAGATTATGCAGAAATTAATATTGCTTATTGAAACTTTTGTTCTGTTTTGAATTGATACCAATATATATTGGTAAATAAAGTCTGTGCAAAATTATGTATTTCAGTAATGAAAAACCTGTAGAAAACCCGTTCAATTAAGTTCATTAAATGTGAATGATTGTTGGACTTGGGTAGATGTCACAAATACAGGTGTACTCTCTTCAGGCCCTTACAGTGTTGCAGCTGAAGGTCACTTTTGCCCTAAGAAGACCCCAGAAGCTTGACTGCAGTTTCTCATGTGCTCTGGTTCAGTCGTACAGCTTTAGTTATTCTTTGTCTTTGGTATCTAATGGTTGGGTTTGCCTTGGTCACCAGATATGCTCCCCACCCCAGCCCTCATCCCTGTAAATGTTGGCCATGCTCAAATGAAAACAAACTGTCAGACATAAATAATCTATTAACTATTCATTGTTTAACTTCGTTAAGACGAAATTTAAGAGTTACCAAATTATTCATTACTATTGAGGTTTTTAAAAAATATAAAGCATGGTTTATTTTCTTTCACTGCAGTTTATATAATTGAAAATTTCCTCAGTTTTCTTCTTATTTTCCTCATAATTTTTGTGCAAAAGTGATGATTCTGCTTCAAAGATCTCAAGTGTAGATCACCTTAAGGCAGATCTTTTGGTGAGACTTAGAGATTAAAATGTTTTCTCCTGTCAATTTGTGAGTAAATGGATATTTAAATGGGCTATCCTGCTAATACCAAGTCATCAAAAACATATGTGCTTTTTTCCCAGGTCAATTTTGATAAAGTTCCCATGGAAATGCGCCTCCCTGTTCATTGCCCAATAAAGCGAGATTTTTTATCAGGGATTCAGATTGAATTTAAGCAGTCTCCTCACCAGAGAAGTTTAAGAGCCAAATTGTACTGGCTTCAGGTAACATTGTCGTTTTCAGTTCAATAAGTATATCTGATCACTTTGGGAAACTTGGGTATGAAATTTTTTCTACAAGACTCTAGCATACGTTGTAAACAGTATTTTTCTTCTCGTTTCTATGTTTATTCCCCTTCTCCCATGTATCCTGTGGATTCTTTATACTTAGCATCCAAGTCCAAAGAGCTTGTGACTGTTGAAACTATTTAATTTGGCCAGTTAGCCTGCAAGAGCATTTTCCTGCACTGAAATTGTTATTTTTAAATATTCCTTTGAATTTTTCATGGGATCCCCAAATAAGATTTTCCTTCGTCATTCTACACAGGAGTGAACATCAGAGAATATTTTTGTCTGCTTGCTTGCTCCCTTCTTGCTTCTCTTCCTCTCTTCCTTTTAACTACTAAATACTACTTAGGACATTTTTATTCTTTTTCTTCTTTCTAATTTCATATCCAGTCTCCACTTACATTTTACTTAAATTATAAGCTGTCAAAATCTCACATGATCCATAGGCACAAATATTTTGATTAATAGTGTGTACGTTGCACAGTGTTAATGCACTGATGAGGATATTAAATATTCCTTTATGTAAAAGGTTGCCCTTGCTGGCATATGTACGAATTTTAGATTTAAAGTGAAACTTCTAATAGCACCACATATACAATGCAGATATTTAATTCTGATAAAATTAGCAACCTCTTATCTCTAAAAGTAAAAGTTATTACATTATTTTAAATCCTGCTGAAATCTTTTTTTTTTTTTTTTTAAGGTTGATAGTCAGTTACCAGGTACAGTGTTTCCTGTTGTATTTCATCCTGTGGCTCCTCCAAAATCTATTGCTTTGGATTCAGGTAAAAAAAAAAAAAAAGAAAGAAAGAAAAAACCGAAAAAATCGCGACATCTATTTTAAAAATTAAGTAGACATTATTTTGATCTAGTATAAAGCTTGATTGTATTTTCCTGTTTTTTTTTTCTTTCTTCTTCTTAGAGCCCAAACCTTTCATTGATGTGAGTGTCATCACAAGATTTAATGAATACAGTAAAGTATTACAGTTCAAGTAAGTAAAGATTCCCCTATTTATCTAAAGGAATTTAAAATGAGAATCTACTTTGAAAATAAATTTCACTCTTGTGAGGCTGACTTCCATATAAAACTTATTTTCCTGGGGCGCCTGGGTGACTCAGTCGTTAAGCATCTGCCTTCGGCTCAGGTCATGATCCCAGAGTGCTGGGATCAAGCCCCGCATCGGGCTCTCTGCTCTGCAGGAAGCCTGCTTCTCCCTCTCCCACTCCCCCTGCTTGTGTTCCCTCTCTCGCTGTGTCTGTCTCTGTCTAATAAATAAATTAAAAAAAAAACCAACTTATTTTCCACCTTAACATACGAATCTACTTTTGGTCAAGTAATTTTCTGTGTTGAAACTTAATAATAGTCCCTCTATATTTTAAAGTGTAAAATTCCTTAACCACTTTTCCTCTTTGTAATTCCAATTAGAATATAAAATAGCCAGTGAAATATGAATGATGTATGTATTTGTGAAATGTGCTCTTGAAAGCAATTGCTGTGGCCCTTAAAAATGGAATAATACATGCTATATCATCTAATTGTATTTGTGTCTTCTGTAACATGATAAATATGAGATTTGGGACTTTAAATGCTAAGTATCAATACAGCAGTATTACTTCTAGTGAAACCTTAACTTGAATGGGAAAAGAAAAAAACATCTGAGTTAAGGATACTTTGGTCTTGTTAACGTAACACTTTTTTTAAGAGATGAAGGAGTAAAATCTTATTGTGACTTCTGGCCAAAATCAAAGTTTAACATTGAAAATTACAAGGTTTGATAGAAACCCTTTTCTGTCTTTTAAAAAATTTTTTTCCTCAGGTATTTTATGGTCCTCATTCAGGAAATGGCCTTGAAAGTTGATCAGGGGTTTCTAGGAGCTATTATTGCACTGTTTACCCCAACAACTGACCCTGAAGCTGAAAGAAAACGGGTAACAATTTTTATTTCTTGGGAAAATTATAAACAAAAAAAAATAAATCAGCCATTCTTTGAACTAATTAGAGAAAAAAAATCAACATACTAATTCTTCATTTCATTTTTTTCAGACAAAGTTAATCCAACAAGATATTGATGCTCTAAATACAGAATTAATGGAGACTTCGATGACTGATATGTCAGTTCTTAGTTTCTTTGAACATTTCCATATTTCTCCTGTTAAGGTTTGTTGCAATTATTATTTTGAAAATTGTGCAGAATTGTTGTAGGATTTTGAAAGGCTCTGTGTATAAATGTGTGTTTTAATTTGTTGTATCAAATATTTGGTGGGAATTTTGTTTGATTAATTGAAATAATTAAGCCAATTCTCTGTAACATATGTACAACCATAATTCCCACAGAGAAACCGTCAGAGCATGTTCTCTAGTCTTGAATTAATAACCCCTTTATTCAAGGAAGGAGCTGACAAAAGCATTTCTTAATTAAGCGAAGAAGTGCTCACCAACATTTAATGTTTTGGTTGCACTTTGTAACTACTATCACTGTCTAAAGAGAGAGCTATAATGGGTGCCCTAACCAGAATGTGAAAACGCTGAAGTAGGTATTGTACTGTTGATTTGGTGGTTTTCACCCTTCCAAAATTTGATTGTAACTAAGGGAGTGGAAAATTGGATACCTTTCACTTGCCTGTTTTTGTACTTTATGAACCCATTTCCTTTTCTCCTTTTGTTCTTTTTAGGTTTTATAGGAAGAGGTGACTGCATAGTAAATTCACAAATGCCACCAACCATAACTCTCTAAACTTGTGTAATGGGCCAGATTTACAATTAAGTAACTCTAAAATATTGATGGTCCTTTACATTCTCAAAAACTGTTTACAGCACATTATTTTCATTTGCATACACCATTCATTTCAGCTAAGTAAATTTATAAAATGGAATTGAATTACTATTTTAAATTGATGTACTAGTTTGGTAGTATTAGACATATTTATAGTGTTAGGTTTAAAATTTATATCATTTTATGTGGTAGGTTATACACAAATTTCTTTTTCATTATTAAGTGAAAATCACTTATGAGATTGAACAATACCTTCAACAAATATTTGCTGAATGCCTACTATCAAAGTTACTCTGAAAGTTATAAAATGACTTCATGGAGCTTACAATCTTAGGGGAGTGCTAAAGATTGTTAATTTATTGATTCATGATTTTACACACATTAGGAATTATGTCATGAAGTTGAATAATTAAGATCGTGATAAGTTGTCTTCTTATTCCATGATGACTTTGCCTTAGGGAAAGGCTGGACATCTGTCCACCTAAGCTTACTTTTCCGGGATCTGGATACTCTCTGACTCTGCGGATGTCCACATCAAATCAACAAACAAACAAACAAAACCACACCCAAAACCAGGCTTTCCCAGTTTTATCCCGTCTCTTTTATTGAGCTCTACATTGGTTAGGTAAAATGCAGAATAAGAAAGGAAAGTTACCTGCTTTATTTGCCAAGATAGAACTACCTTCTGCATGTGCCTTTTGCCACTATTGCACTAATGATGATACAGCACAAAGTAGAAGAAGCTAAATGGGAATGTGAAAATCTCATGTTTAAGTACTGAGTTGAAGGAGTCTGTGAAAGTTGAAAACCTTATTACTCTTTTAAAAATTTATTTAGCAACTTGCTAATTGTTGCCATAATTGTCATGTTGTTGTTATTATTATGGTACAATTATTATTGTTAATTATATTGTATAAAAATGTACATATTATACATAATATATAATTGTAATTGTTAATTATTGCCATAAATTATTTACCTCAATTGGATGAAAATAAATGAATATTTATTATTTTCACTGGTAGACATGTTTTGTGTGCCAGTTGACATATTTTCTTCTTAAATGATTATACTATTTTTGTGAAGTGTTTTGAGCCCCTCCATGTAAACACAATGGTATTTATACACTTTAGATAAAATTTTAGCTCTTTTGAACAGACTAATTTTATCAAAAAGCAAATGTGAGAATCAGGTATTAGTGAGTTATCCTGTGTGGTGTGTAGAGTAACAAATAATAACTTTGTTTAGGATTCTGAAAGATACAACATCTGTTTGTGTCTGGAAGATCTGATTCCTATGTATGTGAATTTTTTGGTTTCGTTTTTAGTTTTTATTTATTAAGCATTATTTTTCTTTTAGTTGCATTTGAGTCTGTCCTTGGGTAGTGGAGGCGAAGAGTCAGACAAAGAAAAACAAGAAATGATTGCAATTCATTCTGTCAATCTGCTGTTGAAAAGCATAGGTGCTACTCTGACTGATGTGGATGACCTAATATTCAAGTAAGATTTGTGTTAAAGTGGATGGGGGGAGGGTTTTGTGCCAAGGTTATGTTTCTGGGTATTAATTCTTCCCACTTGGGCTAGAATGGTAGCTTAGAAAATGATAAGTCTCACTATACTTGAAGTTTGGCCCCTTTCTAATTATGCTTTTTAGATATGCTTATTTTACTCAAAGAGTTTTATATTTTCTTTAGTTATTCATATGTTGATAATACATGAATGTAGAATAAAAATGGAATTATTTTAGAAGTAGCTTATAAATTGACCATGTTTTAAAACAGATTTATATTTAGAAATATGTAGCAGTGTGGTGAGATTTCAGTGTAATCATATGGAAAAGCATAGACAATAACTCTTTGTAACATTTAATCTGAGAATAATTACGTGTGCTGGACGTAAATAAATTCAACGAATGTTTATTGAATTGAATATTCAGCAATGATACTGGAATAAGTAGTTACCTTGGAGAAAAGAGAAACCATTTGTATTATTTCCACCTTACTTGTTGTATACATCAAATTTCATAGGAATGGAAGGATTAAATATAAAATTCAAATGAAAAAGATTGAGGAAAATATCAAGGTTAATTGTAGTCAAATCTCTGAGTAAAGGCAGTCTTCTCAGTTTAAAAGCAATGGGAAAACCCGCAGTGGAAAATACAAGATCGATTTGACTACCTAACAAACACTTTACAAAACAAAATCAATGGAAGCAATTAGAAAATGAACTGGGAAAATATAATGACGAGTATGACAAAGAGAAGATTGATAGTCTTAATATTAAACACAGATAAGACAAACCTAAAGATTCCTGTGCTGTAATTGCCAGTGGACAATAAGAGAATTTGCAAAAGGGAAGATACAGTGGCTGATAGATATTTGAAATGCTCAGCTTTATCATTTCTCATATAATATATGCAAATTAAAGCAAATTATCCAAGGTTTCAAAACTGAATAATTCTAGTACTAGAGAGGGCTGGGTCTAACAAATGGGACCTTTTTTTTTTAACTATTTGTGTGAGTGGGAAGATATATATCAAAGCCTCAAATGTTTTTTAGTAGTTTTTCTCTCAGTGAATCTTTTCTTGGGAATTCATTCCAAAAAATAATCATGAAATGCAATCAAAGAGTTATATTCAAAATTTACATATGGCAATCCTAATTATTATTGTCAAGATTTGGAAATGTCTGGCAGTGGGAGAATTGTTTTCTTATGACACACATGATGGAATGCTATACATCCATTAAAAATGGTTGTATAGAATTTTGAATAACCTAGAGAAATCCTTATTCACAATACGGAGTATAAAACTGCATACAAAATGTTTTAAATATTTTTGAATTGGATAGAAAAGAAAGAATTCAAAGCCGGAAATGACAAGGAAAAAAACCTAAAAAATCCACTGTATGATGGGATTATGGTTGAGTTTTTCAACCTTTTTACTCTTTGAGTATTTATGAGAGTTGTATGAGAATGTGCTATTTTTACAGTAATCTTGTTACCGTGATATGAAGATCTCAAACATAAATTATATGTGGCAGATGTACAAATCAAACTGTGAAGGAATTAACGATGATAAATTTATCATGGAAATTTTAAGTCTCTTTCTTTCAGAATGTAATCATCGTGCCTTTGAATCTTTCTTTCTCCTCCCAGACTTGCTTATTATGAACTTCGGTATCAGTTTTACAAGAGAGATCAGCTCATGTGGAGTGTTGTTAGACATTACAGTGAACAGGTAATTTCCTGTCATAGTAGCTCACAAGGAATATACGTCGTAAGGTATCCGACAAAACATTTGTATGTGATGGCGCACTGTGCAAAAATTGTTTATCTAATTTACCTCAATTTGCAGTCTCATTCGTAGTTTTCTTGAATGATGAATTTCTATGTCTTTCGTTTTTTCCCTTCTGTATAAAAGTTTTTGAAAGTTTCCTTTGGCGCCTTTTTCCCTTTGCAATTATACATTTACCACTTTGGGAAAGAATACTGATGTAGGAAGCATCACACTTACTTCGTAAATGTCTCAAGTTTCTAAGCACAGTCTAGTCGAGTCAGGAGAGGAGTTCTAAGCCAGGCCCTTTCCCACGCCTCAGTTACTCCGTGGCTTGAATTGAATTGGATGCAGAGGCGTAGTAGTTGTTTCAGGGTGGTCGGCTAGCATCCCTGCACCGTGGAACTCCAGGGCGACGTTGCCCTTTCCTTCCTCTGCTGCAGGGTCTTTTCTCCTATGGTGTATATAGACATTATGATTATTACATGTTCAAATAAGGATATATTTTCCTTTGTGTTTTGTTTTGGTTATTATTTCCCCATCTAGTTTCATAGTAATAGCAATAGTAACATCATAATAAAAATAAGTAAAAAAATTTAAAAAATAATAAAAATAAGTAACTATTGTTGAATTATATATTCATGTAATATGTGTACTCAGCCTGGCAAGGTAAGTGTAATCCACCTCTTACTTTTTTTTTTAAAGATTTTAATTTTATTTATTTGTCAGAGAGAGTGAGCGCACAAGCAGGGTGAGCAGCAGACAGAGGGAGAAGCAGGCTCCCCGTTGAGCAGGGAGCCCAATGT